AAAAGGTGGTAAAAATATTCCTACAATATTAACAAAGAATATTATCGGATAACTTCAAGACTTAAAAAATTTCTTAATTTGAAAATTTTTTTAATCTGACGAAAATTCGTCAGGAAATTTTTAAAGCATTGGATCGTGTAAATTGTAAAATTTGCTTTTGGTTACAGAAATGATGAAGAAAATAGTGAAATTGAAAAATGAGCCAAGTAATGGCCAGAAGGCAGTTTACAGTCTAATTGGACCTATTAATATCCGTTGTGATCAAGAAATACATACTCGACCGAACTCGAAATTGCTACATATTTATGAAACTATCAAACTTCGAGCAAATGAAAACGAAAATGACCCGAAAGAAGTATATATGCGAATTATGATCATTCTTTTGTTTCTACTCGATAACGACTTGGATTGATTTGACGGTCATAGATCATATCAGTCGATTCATCTATTGAAATTTAAACTAATTTACCTCTTTCAATTGTTATTTAAGTAACAAGATCTTGAAACTCAGGTAGGTATTTTGCATTGTCAAGTCTTTTCCAACCGGTTTATTTGTATTGATATTCTAGGAGCTGTTACTCTCAACCCGAAATACCTTGACAAAACAATTTGACTCATCACCCTGTCGATGTCTTCAGCGAGTATTTGTCGGCAAAGATGTTATACAGATCGTACGTGGAATACGTATCAGAAATGAAAACGACGGAGCTAAAGTGACTAATGTACTTATTAACAGTAATACATCAGAAGCTTATTATCAGGGTGATAAGTGATTTTAAAAGTGTCTTGTTTGTCAGCTATCTCTTTTAGGGACTGAGGCTGATATCTTACATAAAGTTGACTTAACTTGGATAAATTTACTATGCGAATGTGATCTTCAGCAATATCTGCCATTTGCGCTAATCATATTGAAAATTCAATGCTTTATGATTGATATACTGTAACAGTTTGATGTTGAATTTGATTTGATTTAATATTAAAGTTCAACAAATTTCTTTTAAGCAGGAGCAATTTGCTGTAGAGGAATTGTACAGATTCTTATCTGAACAAAAGCTTGAGAAGAATTTGAAAAGGTTTGCCCTTTCTTACAATCCATGTTGGTTTATTAATATCATCTTATGTTGATAGCAGTTAAGCTGTTCAGTATCAGGCAGAAGTAGCAATGAAAATTACTTAGTCAATAGTCGCTTAGTCAAGCTTTAATCTGGTAAATACCGGGAATATACTGACCACTCATATCTTGTTATCCCTGAAAGAATAACATATATTAACAAAAGAATAACACAAAGCTTATTTGATTATTATATGTATAAGTAATACATAATTAAGCTAGCATCAGTGAGAAGTCGAATCACAGAAGGTCATCATTCAAAATTTAAAGTTTCCACTTTATCCGAAAATATTATCAATAATAATTATTTTAGGGAATCAAAGGATGACGTGCTCAAATCATTATCAGAATTCCAAATTCAGAACAGCTTTTCTGATAAGCAGAAACAGGTTAGTGTGACAAAGGTATTAGTGATATGCTTCTGAATCTATGAGCTGACTTTTACCTTTGAACTTAAAATCAAATATTTCAATATTTGCATTCATTCTACTTTGTCGTGAATTGCTGCGCAATACACGCATTCTCTTTATGAGCACGTACTGATGTTTAAACACGCAAAAGCATTCATAAGCATTTCAGATAACAAAACACTACACGTTTTGCGCAAAAATTTCACTTCATGCTTGTTTGCTAAATATCACATTTTTTATTTATTTGCAATTCATTTTATTCATAAATTTCATATGAATCCAAACAATTTAATTAATTATCTCATTGGAATTAATTTCAGATATCTGCTGCAATCAACAAGAAAACTGAGAAAATACCTGAATGCAATATTGCTGGTAAATCATTAATGAGTTGTTAATTGTTTCAATCAGTCTTAAAGAGTAAATGATAAATTCTCAGTTTTAATGAAGTAGTTTTTACTTAATCTTGGTTAAATTCAATTTTTATACTACCGCTTTCATTTATTTCTACTTCGACTTATAAGATATAATGATAATTAATAGAAGCTAAAAATTATAACTTTAAATTTCATTGCACTATTTGTGTGATAAGAGTTACTTCTTCTTCATTTCAATATAAATGCTACGGAAGATATCAACTCAAAACTGGGCCATAGTTGCAGGACCAGTCCTAGTTGATACTACAGAATACTATCTACGTACAAAAGTTGGGATGGTAACAACACATGAAATCATTAAAATTTATGGCCAAAGTGAAATTAACAATGAGCGAATACTGGCCACACTAATTCCGGTTTCGAAAAACTCACGAGGACAAGTACGCTTCTCTTTCAGTTTATCATTCTTTTCAAAAAGAGAGAAATGAGCAGAAATTGTATTGTTGAACAATCGATCATATCTATGATCTCATCAGTAGCATTATTAATTGTTTATGTTTTAAATATTTCAATTAGTATTGAAATCATTAAACTGTACAATTCCTTCATGAAGAATTTTATCAATAAATTAAAAGTATGAATCATCCAGTGAAGCTGCTTTAAGTTCATTTAAAATAAATTTATTCCTACATCCATATTCAATTAACTCTTTAAAAAAGCCTCATTTTTATTTTGATATTTACCTCGCACTTATTACTTCTCATAAATTAACATGCAGAGGAATTATTTGGTCGAGACTTTTTATTTTTCTCCATAGTTTTTCCAGAAAGATTTGGAACTTATACCAAAGACAACATCAGTTGCTGATATCGGTGATGGATTTGTTCAAATTCGTATTTGTCGCCTTTTCAAGACACCTGATTCAAGTTTGTTAAGTGAAAAGACGATGAATTATGACGATTCTAATAATGTTGCATTTCTCAAGAATAGATGTAAATCCTTATTCATTTTCATCATCTTTCATTCATTCTTTGAAAAAGAAAAAACTTGCTTGAAAAATTTGAAAATTATTTGTTTATTTGTTTTTCCATTCAAAATTCATAATTCAATAAATTATATGTTTGGATAAATTTGTGAATGATAACAATGAACAAATACTGCAACAACCAGTAACAATTACAATGAGAAAAAATGCGCAAAGGTATGCTTTATACGGTCCAATTAATATCAAATTGAAACAACGGATCCGATACCGTACTTCAGAAGCATACTCATTACGTGAAGAACTTGAACTGAGATGTGCGAATGCAAAAAGCAAAGCTAATAAGGTTACGAATTTTCTCGTCAATTTACAAAAAATGAATTGTGGTCTCAAAGTAAACAATACAATGAATTTGTAATTTATTAATTTATGTGTGGAAATATATAATTATAGAATGCATATATTCATCTTTAGTATTATTTTAAATTTGTTATTTTAAATATTAAAATATTTTCCCAAATTTCGTATTTATTAAAAATTTTATGATGTATTCATTATGAATGGTTTAAATGATAAAATGGTTTTTTGATATGTTTAAATTGTTCCTTGCTGATAAATTTTCACTTGAAGAATTAAAAGCAGAAGGAGGAAAATCATCTGGTATAATTTTTCGAATTCAACTGTTAACCAATTTGGCTCTTAAACTTTTAGCATAATTTTAGCATAACCTCTGAGATGTTTATCTTTTTTTAGCATATCTTTTATATTAGCTTATCTTTTCGTATCTCTTATCACTCTCTAGAAATTGCAAATGAATTCTCATCAAGTAATAAAATCACCAAAGCAAGCAGTACCGTTGCAAGTGATAGAAAAAATATTTGTGGGACATAATGTCGTCCGTATCGTACGTGACACCCAAGTCACTATCTCTGCGTTTCTTGTATGCTTTAAACTTTCTTCATTCTCGAAAGTAATGAAGTTTGAAAGAGAAAAAAACACTAATTTCATTAATTATTTGATAAAATTGGAAGAATTTATTGAGAGAAATTGAAGGAGAAAAGCTTTGAAATGATCGAATATCGTAGACATCAACTTAAAAACGATGAAGATAAAAGGAAACAAAATCAGATCAATCAGTATGATTTCTATTCATCCATCAATGATTTCTAGGAGTTTTATAAATGATGCACAAGAGAGAAGGGGCAAAGGTCACACTAAATAGACTACGAATATTGACAATGGACATTTTTTTCCTTCTTTTTAAATAGTATTTGTTAGTTTAGTTTTTGTTTCTACTGTTTTTGAATTCTATCAAATAGCGAATATTTGAAAAAGTAGTTGACCAAGGAATAGCCATGTGTGACCAGGAATTAATAGATGAATAGAGGAGAAGCGGAATTAGTTGCACTACATGTGGATTGATTAGGATCATATCTATGCTACCGAAGCATCAGTCTTCATTGATACCACGGGATTTGAAAAATCAATTTTGAAACCATCAAATGAACTTTTTTTTTCATACTTTAGCAATTTTTTCTTTTTTTTTAAATTTAAAGATGAATTCAACGATCGATATCAGCTGTTCCAAACTGAATAGTTCTGCTCAACAATAGAAGATTTGTGATAAGGGATGGATTGGAAATCAATCATTCTCTAACTGTTCCAGCTATCTTAAGCAGTTTTTAAAAAAAGACGAAAAAAGGATTTGGATAGACTTATTTATTTGTTCATTTTAAACTTTAAAAAGTTAAATTCACTTTCATGTCTTCCAAATATTATAAAGCAATTACATGACTCATTCTCGTTAACAATTTACTCAAATAATCAATAATTACTTGCTTGAGTAACAAGCATAAATTTGATAATTGATATGTACCTAGAATATTTACTGATATCTTCCCTTAAGCAAGCTGTGACATTGTGAAGTGATATTGTGATCCATCTTTGAGAAGATTTGAAAAGTTGCTTTTTATGATATCAAATATATGTATAAAAATCAATTCCTTCATGCATTGATCAAAAAATCAAATAAATATCAGTGAAATTTTAGGAATTGCTGGGAATAACTAATTTATTTACAAATTATTAGATATTTGTAATTAACTTTAAAATGAAATTGATGATTTGATATGGTAGCTTATCGATTATTATCAGGATTATAACGCATACTACGTACTAAACCATTCCAACGAATACCACGCATAGTAATACTTTTAAGGAATTGAACTTCTATCGAGGAGTCAATTCGATCACACAATTCACAACTTTCCAAATGTAATTCAGTGAGTTTTGGTAATGAAATTAATGCACTGAAACAAATTTATATTAACTACCAACCATTTGGACTAATTCTCATATTTGCAATACTTCACGTTTTCAAATAAGCTCCGACATTACCGCCAAAGGGAAGTGCCAATCTGACAAAGATTAAACTACTGAATTGACACTACCTTTAATTGATTTAATAATGTCAACTAACCGTTCAATTAATTTCAAACTTGTTAATCATTTAAAAATGTTGCAAGAATTTGATCAATCTATCTGTAAGTTAGATGATCCTTAAAATTATACTATCAGAATAATATTCAGGAAAAGATGTCAACTAACAGTTGTAAATTTAAAAATGATAAAATTGAACATACGTATAAAATCGTTTCAACTGATCATTAGTAGCAAATAAAGCATTCCAAATATGTACAAAACGCAATGAGTGATGTGTTAGTAAGAACCAAATCAGTAATTCGGGATATTTCGCTGTGTTATACCGTACGCCAAGCTGTATATACAATATCATAACAATGATACTGTAAAATCAATACAATAAAAATCACATCATAAGCTTAACAAATTCGAAAGAAATTCATTTGGAGGAGAGATATCGTAGTTTCGTTAAAAGGAGCTCGCATATAGCATATGTGCTATGTTATGATCTCCTGATAACGTTATCATTTGCTAAGTGCAAGTTGATCTGATGATAGATTGAATTTTTCAAATTCTCAATCTTTTTTCTTAAGTTAAAATTTTAAAGTTGAAAATTTTTAAGCTCCGATAAATTTAGCTAATAAATTAATCCACTTACACTTATATGCTTCAATTTATACAGATGACAATGACTTTCACACAATGAATACAATATTTTAGCTAAAGTGTCATATGGACAATTGAGCACAAGAGTCTCCAAATGTTCCATATGACGTAAGGGAGGCACTTCTAATCGATGAGAACATCCTGGAATACATTATTAAAGGATGTAAATTAATAAATAATTCAAAAAAATAAAAAGAAAGTTAAATGAAATAAGCATGCAAACTTGCACACACACACACACACACACACACAACGTGACGCACACTTACACGTGATCTACTTACACGTATACGTACACGTAATTTGCTGTAAAGTGTTACATTTCGAAATATTTCAGAAAAATTGCAAGATTAGTTTTTAGGAAACTCTGATTTTTTCCCAAAAGCATTGAATTACGGTTAGTAGATTAAAGAAAAAAAAAAACTTTTTCATGAAATTTGTGTCTTCCAGAAAAAATTTTTGCGTTTTTTTATACTGAAATAAAATGTTAAAATTGAAATTGGAAAAAAATCTGACCTTTGCCAGCACTTTTTTGAATCACAAATCCATCCATTATCAATACTTTCAGTTGTCGAAAATATTGCAAAGCTAAGATAGCATCAGTTTCAAAACGTGGCTTATTACAGGATTGACTTAAATCCAATCGATATAATCTTGGCACAACTGATGCCAACTGTAAATATGAAAAGTTAGAAATGGAAAAGTGAAAATTTGAACGAATAAGCAATTGCATTCATTCTTCTTCATCTGATAATACCATTGTGAAAAAAAAGAAAGTATCGTATGCTAACTGATCCAATATTAGCTAAAATTATTGAAAATTTATAAAATAAACTTTATTATATATTTGGTTTAATAAAAACACTGAATTTTATTTTGACTATTAGGAAATGTAACAATACCTGAATTAAGCCAGCTAACGTAAGGACAACTGAACAATGACGCAATGAAAGGTCACGCAAAGAGGGCATGTAAAGGTTGATGAATGTAAAAATTTTATCAAAAACTGCATCACAGTCATTTTGCTCATTTAATAGAGCAAAGTGTTGCCGCTTATATTTATTAAATATTGCTAAATAATCACCGACAACATCAAGATGACTTCGATAACATAAATTATACTCAGCAAGCCATTTATAGTATTTCGATACCTGTCAAATGATTTCAATTTAAAATTTACAAAGTTTAATTGGTCTCTTTTGACCGTGGAATTCTTTGTTGAATAAATATGATTAATGGAAATTATCTGAAGTATATTTGGATAAATTAACAATTAACTTCTATCTATCAGCTAATGACTCTTCATTTCTTTCATATTTTATCAGAAAAGGAAAATTTCTTAAATCTGAAATTTCTTAATTTACAGCATACGCATACCAAACAAAAAATGAAGCGAAATCGATTGAAATAAACCAATTTAAATTTAAAATTTATAAAAAGAGAAACGAATAACAGAACAAACTTGTCGTAATTGAAGCAATGAGAAGAAATCGCAATAATTTAAAACGGTTAGGTGAATTTCAGGCGGTAAAGAGTCAATTGATATCATCATGCTTTCAGAATTAGCAGTCAGTTCAAAGTTGATAAATCAGGGTCAGTTATCAGTTATAGGAATCAGGTTATCAATTAGACGATCATTGTAATGAAGGAAAGTTAAGTTTAAGAAAAGGAATGAGGGGATGATTAGTTTCCGGGGACCTGAGATGTTTGTGCTCTGAAAATAAAAATTTGCTAAATTACGATATAATTTGTAATGAAGAAGAAAATGTACATGATATTAACGGAATCAAAATACCAATTAGTTGAATAATTAATTGACTAATTAATTTCATTATTTATGGAAGATTTCGTAGAAACTATTTAGAATATAATATCGATTTAATTGAGCAAAACCTTTTCAATTTTTCAAAATATTGGAATATTAATGAAAATATAAAATGAAAATATAAAATAGGAAATATTTATTTATGCATTGATACTTCATGATGAATGGAATTTTTATAAATAATAGTCGAAGATTTCACCCAAATATATTAAATCATTCTCATTCATATGACGGAATAATAAGTGAAGTAATACTTTGAAGTTAATAAGTAAGATAGAATGCCAAGGGAAGTTAATACGAGATTAGAATATCATTCGAAACAGATAAGATATGAGACATTGATAATGATACTGGTGCTGTTATTACTGGAAGCATATTTGTTGATATCATTTCTTTGTTCTTATCAATAAAGCTTCTAAAATGTGTACTCAAAATGAACTTATGAAACTTGTGTTTATTTGAAATACCATAATTTAATTGCTAATTATATTAATGTTAATAAAATGTTGAACATTTGTAATTATAATTATACTGTAGTATATTGCTTATTTTTAATGAATTAAATATCTCTTCATCCTAGGAACATAAAATATTCCAGTTTAAATTTGAAATCAAAAATAACATTTCTTCGTTAACTGCAGTATCCTGTAAAACTAAGCTTACTGATAAGCTATGGTCTTGAAATTATTATCTAGCGCTTTCCATCAAATATAAGTAACATTTTTTATGGATATTAGAAATATATATCCGTATATTTGTAGTATTTGTCATTTGTATTTGTAGTATTTTTTATGGATACTACAAATATACGGAGAAAATGTCACGTAAATAAGCTAATAATATAAGCATTAAAATGAAATTTTATCAAATTTACTTCATTCATAATTAACATTTGGAAAAAAAATTTAATTTATAATTAATTTATTAAAGCAGGAAAAAAAAAGAAAAGCTTTTACAATTGAAGAGAAAAGGACGAAATTTTGAATGATAAGAAGATAATGTAAATTTTGAAAGTGTTGATAAGATGATAAGCATGAAAACATTGACGAGGAATAGATGAAAATACCTTTCTAGTTTCTCTCTTCCAGCAAATCAATATGTGATGAATTGGCAAACTTATTTTGTTTTATATGTTTGTTTCAACGAAATGTTTTTTTGTTTTAAAAATTTTCAACAGAACTTTCTTGCTCACCCATAATTTGTCAACATTTTAGCAACTGTCACCAAATGTTACATAATTAAATGGAGATGTGAGATGGAAAAGAGCAAATAGTAGTGAAGAAATTTTCTACAATGTTAATATTAACCTACTTTTACGTCATTTTTGTTTAAATTAAATGTTTTCGAAAAATGTTCGTTGATCATTTTCCTTAGCACTCTTTCACTTTCGTTCCAAGCTTATTTTTCTTAGAAATATATTGGCTTTTCTATGATAGCATCAATCATATCAACGCTCATCCATAAATATTTTAATAATTTAAAATTTGAATTTAATTTTTGTATTTTTGATTTGGTCTTTTCCGCTTACAACAAATGAAATTGACTAGTTATTCCTCGAATGAAACTCTCAAATGAAGAAGAGCAAAAGTGATGTAATTTAAATCATCAGAATCAATCGATTTCCTGGAAAATTTAATTTGAAGAAAAAAATCAACAAATTGCAAAAAAAATAACCGTAAAATTGCTTATAATTATACATAGGAAGGGTGAGAGAGAGAGAGAGAGGAGGAGAGAGAGAGAAGAAAGAAGTATA